ACACAAAGCTGCGCCACAAATGAATAAAATTCTTTGATTATATTGCCCGATGGTAAATACTACTTCTAACTCGAGTACTACTTTTTTTTTACTCTACATTACTGACTGTTTATGGCCTATTTCCAAAGTAACCCTAATCCTGATCTGTAGCCTTGCTGCCACGTGACCCGGCTAAACATTGTTCCTCTTTTAGGCCACCTAATGTAGATCTAGGCCGTGGAGCTAACACCTCCAATCTTTAATTCTTTACTTCTTTACCCTGTGGCATAAAGCTCGGCGGAGAAGATCACCTGTTCTACCAATTGCACATTCCATGTCGAATAATTAAACACTACACCAAACCCCAAACCCTAGCTCGTCGAAGCTTCACCTACATACCTCGGTCTACACAAACACAAAAGCTCCACATCACCTCCGAGCGCACGAGCAGCTGCTCGCGCAGCTCCGCACCGCTGAAATGCAATTATTACGACTCCTAGTCGCGGTATCCGTGGTGCTATTCTCCGTCGTTGTAATCGCCGCCGAGGATTACTACAAGGTGCTTGGACTCGCAAAGTCCGCATCGGAGAGGGACATCAAGCGCGCATACAGAACACTAAGCAAGAAATACCACCCTGACAAGAACCCGTGAGTGCAGCTACTATTCTCTTATTTCAATTTCTCCATGATTTTATTTCTCTACTGTGGCTCCGCGCATGGTACACATTACACCCGCACAAGGCAATTGCTAACCAACCTCGTTAGCAACGATGATACGGCGCGCGAGAAATTCGTCGAGATAGCAGACGCCTACGACGTACTCTCGACCAGCACGCTGCGCAAAGTGTATGATCAATATGGACACGACGGGGTAGAGCAGCACCGCAAAGGCGGATCAGCTGGCGGCGGCCACGACCCATTCGACCTGTTCTCGCGATTCTTCGGCGGTGGCGGACACTCCGGGCACGCGCCTGGACACCGTCGCGGACCGGATATGGAAGTGCGGGCTGCGCTGCCGCTTCGGGATTTCTACAATGGACGCGAGATCAACTTCCTCGTTGAGAAGCAGCAGATCTGTGATTCGTGCGAGGGTACCGGATCCAAGGATCGAGAGGTTGTGACTTGTGATCGGTGCGCTGGACGTGGTATGGTTATTCAGAAACATATGCTAGCGCCTGGGATGTTCCAGCAGGTCCAGATGCAGTGTGATAAATGTCATGGGCAGGGGAAGAAGATTAAGAATCCTTGTCCTGTTTGTGAGGGAAATAGGGTTGTTCGGAATCAGGTTGAGACCAGTGCTAGTATTGAGCCCGGGATGGGCAAGGGGACTAGGCTTGTTTTTGAGAATGAGGCTGATGAGAGCCCTGACTGGATTGCTGGGGATTTGATTGTTGTTTTGGATGAGAAGGAGCCTGAGCTTGGGGTGGAAGAGGAGGAGAAGACGGATGGGACGTTCTTCCGGCGGAAGGGGAAGGATCTTTTCTGGAAGGAGAGTCTTTCGCTGCGCGAGGCGTGGATGGGTGGTTGGAGTCGCAATCTTACACATCTTGATGGACATGTTGTTCGTCTTGGACGTGGACGTGGTGAGGTTGTGCAGCCGTTGGCTGTTGAGACTATTGTCGGGGAGGGCATGCCCCATTACTCCGAGGGTCATTTACATGATCACCACGATGAGAATGATGAGGTGGGAAATTTGTTTGTTGAGTATACTGTTATCCTGCCGGATCAGATGGAAAGCGGGATGGAGAAGGACTTCCATGCTCTCTGGGAGAAGTGGCGCAAGAAGATTGGAGTTGATTTGGCGAAGGATTCTGGGCGACCTGTTGTGTCTCCGCCGGCGGAGGATAAGGATGAGTTGTGATGATTACTTTTCAAGGCTTTGTTATTTTTTTGATTCCCTTTTTTGCTTTTTCAAGGTCATTGTATATTGATTGCATCTGTTGATTTGCGTGCATTTTAAGACCATGGATTAGATTAGACCCTTGGCTTGTATTGAAATGTTGGATATAGTATACAATAGACTGAATCCTACAAGATAGTCTACTTGTCTCAAATAGGGGATGTTGTATAGAACTGAGGTAGTCCCATTGGTCCGGCAATTGCACTTGAACTTTGTCGGCATACATGACTCAATATCAAGCCAAATTTTCTCCTACGGAGTTCTCCGTAATTGTTCAAGTGGCCTTAACGCCACACGTGGGGCAACCAGGATACTGCTTATGCTGCCTTGATGCCGAATGCAGATCGACGAATCTGGAGTATCCGGCCAGGACAGAGTTCTATACCCAACGCATGAAACTCCAGATTCTGATTCTACCTAACCCTGTTTTGTTGTGATGCATACACCTCCGATAAGGAGGTTTTTTAGCGCAAGACGTAAACAAAGACCGGGCGTAGAGCGCATAGATTTACGGCGATGGTCTAACTGGAATAGGCCGACGAGGGCAGGGGGTTTGGGACAGGGGTTGGATATTGTGGCGAATAAGCTTGTTTTGCCTTCAAGTACACACATAATCCACTTCCTTGACCGTCATTTCATGTTCGTTTGAAGGTTCGGCTGGAGGTGCTCTATACATGTGCAAACAGTCTAGAAGCATCCACTTCGCGGGTACGGGCTCTATTTGGATTTTGTAGAGATAGGCAGCGGTCCCTATTTATTGGAATTGGAATTTGTTTATTCCAAGAAATTAACTTGGTTTATGTACTATTTATTCATTTTATACCCCCTATATTGTTGGTTTGTGGACATCGAGGTACCATATCTAGGTAAGAACATAAAATAGAAACACACGTTCTCTCACCGATACAATCCCTAGAAACATCCCAAACGGGCCACGGATGGGAATAAAATGCAATCAATTGGTGTCAAGGTTTCACCCGTCAAGTCAAAGTTAAAACGATGGAAATTTCTCCGCAAACACCATCCCGAACTATACGAAGTAAATATTCCCAAAAATCAGCTACAAACCCCGGGGGTTCAACCTATCGGATAGCCCATCAACTTACATAGGCAAGGATAAGCAGAGCTACTACACGAACTACTAGACGATCCACAAGCCTCACATATAGACTAGATTAGATTAAAACGCACAGCTCGTACCATCTAATGGGGCCAACTTCCCAGAAAATGATTTGCCGGCATAGCATCCCAAGCTGCAGTCCTAGCCTCTACCTTGGCGTGTCCATCTGTACCCCATATGCCGATTGTCACATGCGTGTGCACCATGCACTGCCCATAATTTTAGAAAACTCCACTATGTGAGCCTATCTATGACAGACCAATGTAGACCAAATGAAAAAGCAGCTAATACATACCATCCATGTTGAGGAGATCGCGCCTAGATCCAGCTATAAACAGACTTTGGGGATGGGCAAAGAGCTCGCGGATCCGGAATCCAAGCCGGAAGGCTGCTGGTTGCCTTCTGGGGCGATAGTGCCATAGTGCGATAGGAATTGCGAACGTGCGCATATGGAAGCACTAATGACCATGCCGCCGGAAAAAAATTGGTCAAACACCTCGACATATCTCAAAAGTTTGATAGTTTCATGTATGTTGTAGCATCTCTTTACGTGCAGGGGCGTGTAGTGTACATAGTGCATCAAAGAAAATTACGTGAATTCCTTTCACACCTGCAATCGTGGAGTTCTTGGATCATAAGACTATGTTCTCTGGCCACGCTGCTGGGTGTTATCTCTTCCCTTAACTAGTAACGCCCCGGGGCTGAAGGGATCCAACCAGATAGACCGCCTATGGCGGGTTGCGGTGTGGGATTGCGGTGGATTTCATGATTGAATATCAACATTTGATTTACTGTTTTAGGCTTTAACTGTTTGGTACTTTGATATTTTATGATTTTCAATGGTATGTTGACTAGTAGGGTTGTTATAGCTGAAGTCAAAGTAAATAGATTCATCAACTTATCCCTATTTTGCTATTTTGTTCACAACTAATTGCACAGCTTTGAATAGATAAATGGGCTACGATCTAATAATGGATTCTGCATTTGCTTATAAGCCCATATTAACCTAGGGCCGATCTGTAGAAATACCGGGAAATCAGACGGTTGTTGGAATAAATATCCCATGGAAGTTTCTAGGGCAAACGGACGAATGGGAAGCTTGTATACATGTAACCCTGGTATTAGTATAGCCGATCAGCAGTGCATATCCTACCACTATAACACAAAAAAAAAAAAAAAAAACCGAAGGCCGAATTCGACAGCGATCGACAAACGTTAGGCTGCATGTTAGTAACGGCAATGCATCTCTCCGCAGACCCAGCGTCTCGGATTTGGTGACCTTGCATCCGATCTGTTGGTTCGGTATGTATTTGGTGTGTTTATAAATGTAGCCATCTACATGTGGAAATTTCTATAGATACCCATCATTGGCATTGAAAACCTATATCTTGAAATCTTGTTTTTTTGATCAACTAGGAATATATTCGTGTGACAAGAGCTCTACTTGGAAGATTATTACATGGATATATCATACCTTCTAAAAATATGTTCATGTGTAGGTCAGTTATGCTTCTGGATTATATAAATTTGCTGCTCACCGTTGAAAGTACAAACAAAGTACATACAGGGACAACAACCCTGAAAGTCCTAGACATGCCAAATATACAAAGCCTACTATCCACTTTTTTAATGAACGCAATCAAAAGAGGAAACTCGCGAAGATCAGTAGATATACTCGTGCCTACTGGCCAGACTGCCAATCTTAGGTTTCCAGTGGTGCTTTTGACTGCTTCGCGCAAATCCCGTTTCCCTTAGCCTCATATGCCTTTGCTAATCTGATCCCGCGTTGTTGATATGGGTAGGTGGTACGCAGTGGTCTCTGCTATCAAAATCCTCATCTCATCGCGATCCTCAATTGTCTTATATTCAAACTCTGTCTTCAGCCATCTCAATCTTTACCCTTCGATACCTCCTCGTCATACCTCCTTCATCTATTTTCCATCTCTTCTAGATCCAGTCACTCTGACACACCAACGACCCATTCCTCCTTAGCATTAGAAGATGCGTCCCCTCTCTCTGCCAAGCGGCTCCAGCAACAATAGAGCTATACCTTCTGATTCCCTGGAACCAATCGCTATCGTTGGCCTAGCCACTCGCTTTCCGCAACAAGCAACGACCACTGAGAGTCTGTGGGAGCTTCTCCTACTGGCCCGCTCGACGTGGTCGTCGATACCAAAAGAACGTTTCAACTCAGGCGCCTTCTATCATCCAGACCCTGAGCATGGTGGAACGGTAAATAATATCCGAGCCCTGCCAACCAGAATCATCATGGAAAATACCCGGCTAACTTATATCTATCTATAGTTTCATGTCCAAGGAGGTCACTACCTCTCAGAAGACCCCGCCTACTTCGATGGCTCCTTCTTCAACATTACAAAGAACGAGCTCTTGACATTGGATCCGCAGCAGCGACTGGTACTGGAGAATGTCTACCACGCCCTGGAAAATGCAGGCATTCCATTGACCAGCACTGTTGGCTCCAACACATCGGTTTATGTCAGTGGATTCAACCATGACCACCTGGGTATCCTCAATTCAGACCCAGAAACCACTTTAAAATACAAGCCCACGGGTGTCACCAATGCCATTCTGTCCAACCGTGTCAGCTGGTTCTTTGACTTCAAAGGACCTAGCATGACCATTGATACGGCTTGTTCTAGTAGCTTGGTGGCGCTACACCTCGCTGTACAGAGCTTACGTGCCAGAGAGACGAACATGGTATGCTATCTGTTTTGACATTGATATTCTTGTGCTAATATACTTATAATCGTCAAGGCTGTCGTCAGCGGTGTGGGAATTCTTGAAAATCCCGTGGAAACTATCGGAATGAGCCATCATGGTCTGTTGGGACCCCAAGGGCTGTCTTTCAGCTTCGACTCCCGTGCCGAAGGCTATGCACGAGGTGAAGGTGTAGGCACAGTTATAGCAAAGCTTTTGAGTGCTGCTATTAGAGACGGAGATACCATCCGCGCGGTTATTCGGGAGACCGGAGTCAACCAGGATGGTCGCACACCTGGAATCACAGTTCCCAGTGCAGATGCACAAGAAAAATTGATTCGTGAAGTTTACTGGAGAGCCGGCCTGGATCTTGAACATACAAGATTTGTTGAAGCCCATGGCACGGGAACAAGCACCGGTGACCCAATCGAAGCCGGGGCTCTTGCCAGAGCGTTCAAATGTCGCCGAGAGTCCCCGCTCTATGTCGGTGCGATCAAGTCTTCCGTTGGGCATCTGGAAGGTGCCTCGGGTGTGGCAAGCATCATCAAATCTATTCTAACCCTTGAGACTGGGATCATACCGGCAAACTTTGATATGAAGCAGACAAATCCTTCCATTCCTGCAGCGGAATGGGACATTGAATTCCCTACCGAGGCCCTTCCATGGCCATCGCGAGGGTTACGAAGAGTTTCAGTCAACTCATTTGGAATTGGTGGCACAAATGCTCACTGCATTCTTGATGACGCTTACCACTATCTCAATGACCGCCGTATTACAGGTGCCCACCATACCACGTCTACTGTTCCCACGGCTCAGAAAATCAAGGGCCGACTCTTGGCCCTGTCCCGATTAGGAAATGAATCAAATGATATTGTGACGGATTCATTCGATGACAGCGATCACTCTGGGCCTGGAGACACCTTTGTGGACACACCTACAAGCGATGGCTTTTGTGCATCACCTATCTTCACGTCCTCCACATACACCAGCTTGGCTGAGAAACCGAAGGTGTTCTTGCTATCGGCTTTTGACGAAGATGGCGTCAAGCGGAACGCAGCTGAATTCACCAAGTACTTGAACCGGAGAACGACGCAGTCGGTTCCCCATGACCATCTCCTTGATGATCTCTCCTTCACACTGTCGAAGAAACGATCCCAGTTCCCCTGGAAGAGTTTTGTCATGGCGTCCTCGGTCAAAGAACTCGCATGGAATCTGTCGGAATCAAATTTTGCCAAGCCAACCAGAACTGCTAGAGTGCCAGAGGTTGAATTTGTTTTCACTGGCCAGGGAGCTCAATACCAGGCCATGGGCCGAGAGCTCATGGTCTACCCCGTTTTCCAAGAGTCTGTGGAGGAAGCATCGGATTATATCCGGCGGCTTGGTAGTCCGTGGTCGCTACTTGGTAATAATTTGATTTGCCCGTGTTGTCCAAGTGTGCTCTACTAACATATGATAGACGAACTCTTAACCGAAAGACAGACACCCCGAGTCAGCTTGCCCGAGATCGCTCATCCATTGTGTACAGTTTTGCAAATAGCCCTTGTGGATCTCTTGGCCAGTTGGGAAATCTTCCCAAAACATGTAACGGGTCACTCGTCCGGTGAGATCGCTGCCGCTTATTGCTCCGGCAAACTGTCGCGCGAAGGTGCCTGGAAAGTTGCATACTACCGTGGGTACGTATCATCCAAGCAGCTTTCTGCAAATGGAGCGATGATGGCCGTGGGTCTGGACGTATCGCAACTGCAGCCCTATCTGGACTCTGTGAAGAAGGACAACACCGGGGAGCTTATCATTGCCTGCTGCAACAGTCCCAAGAACAACACTGTGTCTGGAGATGATGCTATGATTGATTGCCTCAAGAATCTTCTCGATGCCGATAATATCTTTGCTCGAAAGTTGAACGTCAAGAATGCTTATCACTCGGCCCACATGCATGCGATTGCTCAGGATTACCTTCGTCTGATGGGAACGCTTCCTTATGGAAGGCGACTCCCAGCTCCACACCAAGTGCATATGTTTTCCACTGTCACAGGACAGAAAGTCAAAGAGGAACATCTGCCCGCTCAATACTGGGTGGATAATATGGTTTCTCCTGTTCTTTTCACAAGCGGTTTGGTTGCAATGACCTCAAGACCAATTTCCAGCCATGGCTCCACCGATTCAACGGATTCTTTGTGCCTTATTGTAGAAATAGGGCCTCACTCAACCCTGCAGAGTGCCATCAAAGAGACACTGGCCTTGAAGAGCCCCAGGTTGGAATTCAAGTACCTGGCCGTTCTTAAACGGACAGATCACAGCCTCAATACTCTACTAACTACGGTCGGATTCCTAGCTTCAAGTGGATGTGAACTAGACTTCCACGCTGTGAACCAAGCTCCTCGCTCTAAGGCAAAAAGGAAACCCAGACTGCTGGTGGACCTGCCACCCTACAGCTTCAAGCATACCGAGAGGATTCTGTTTGAGAGTCGACTGAGCAAGAATCTTCGAACTCGAAAGTTCCCTCGTCATGACCTCTTTGGCGCACCAATCACGGATTGGAATCCTACTGCTCCCAGATGGAGACATTTTGTCCGATTGAACGAGAACCCCTGGTTGAGGGATCATATGGTAAATCTAAACTTGCCTACAAAATAACTTCATCCACTAACATGGCTTAGGTCACTGGCAACTACGTCTACCCTGGTGTCGGTTATCTGATCATGGCAATTGAAGCATTGAGGCAGTTGGCCGGCGAGGCAAAGATCACTGGTTTCCAACTACGAAAAGTCAACATTCGAAGAGCCTTGATTGTCCCCGACACCAAAGAAGGAATTGAAGTCTCCTTGGCAATGGCAACTGTCGAAGACTTATCGACGTCGTCGCGAACATGGCGCCGATTCCAAATAACTTCCTACAATGCATCGAGCGACGAGTGGACAGAACACTGCACTGGCCACATCACCGTCGACCACGAAACAACTTCTGACCCAGTGGACAATGGTCGCGAAGCAGAAGAAGAAAGCCGAGCTTTGGGATCAGAACTTTTCCGCGCAAATGAGACATGTGCAAAGTCCATGGCCTTCAAATCTACATACAACAACCTCCAGACATCCGGCCTCAATTTTGGTCCTTTGTTCCGGAACCTTACAGACGTTCGCGCAAGTGGGTGTGGGCTCGGTAGGGTTGTTGGGTCAGTGACGGTACCAGCCATTGCACAGTCTATGCCAAAGCAATATCTACATTCTCATCTCATCCACCCTGCCACAATGGATAGCATGATCCATTTGATGATCGCGGCTGTCCTCGACTTTACCAACAAGTCCACCCTGGATCAGATCAGGTTGCCAACTTTCATACGCGATGTCTGGGTTTCAGCAGACCTGAATTCAACCCCAACCCACAAATTCACGGGATATGCAACCGTGTCTATGGTGGGATCTGGTAAATTTGAGGGCCAAATCCAGATGCTGGATGAGGGAACAAACACACATCGTATCCGCATGGACGGTATCGAGCTCACTCCACTGGAGTCTGGTCTTGCTGAAAGTAATGGGCGAAAGCTGTGCAGCGCGATTGAATACAAGCCCGACCTCCATTTCCTCGACTCTAAATCCGCCTGTGCACTGACTTCTCTCGATACTACCGATGACGACGAGGCTCTCTACTGGGTGAAGCGTCTTCAGCTTGCAACGATGCTCTATGTCATGGATGCACTGTACGAGCTCAAGGACATTGATACTATGAAACTCGATTTGCACATGCGAAGATTTTTTGACTGGATGGAGCATGTGAGAGGGCTTCTCGAGTGTAATCAAATAATTCATCTGTCCTACAGCGAATTTCAGGAGGCTTTCCAGGATGAGGCTCTCAAGAAAGCCATTGGAAAGGAAATCGAGGCCCACAGCGCCGAAGGTGCCATCACAGCCCAAATGGGTCGCAACATTGTCCAGGTTGTGTGCCAGGAAACTGATCCGCTGGATCTCATGTTCGGTCAAGACACCGTGATGGAACAGGTGTACAAGGAAGGCCTCCACTTGTATAACCTGCCACAGCATCTACAGAGCCACCTGGCTCTCCTCCGCCATCAGCATTCCGAGCTGAACATCCTCGAGATCGGCGGTGGCACCGGCAGTTTTACTGCTGAAGTTCTGGCTGTTCTTTCGCCAGACCTTGGGAAGAGCAAAGGAAACATTGCCAGCTACACATTCACGGACATTTCATCCGGCTTCTTCGAAAAAGCAAAACAGCGTTTCCAAGCATGGTCCGACATCATGAACTTCCGATCGCTCAATATCGAGCGAAGCCCAGCCGATCAGGGACTCCATCTGGGGACATATGACCTGATATTCGCTGGCAATGTCATCCACGCCACTGCAAACCTTCAGAATGCTTTACAGAACCTACGATCTCTATTGAAGCCGGGTGGCCAGCTCATCATGCAGGAAGGAATCCGCCAGGATTTCCTCTGGTATCCACTTGTTTTTGGTCAGCTTCCCGGGTGGTGGCTGGGCGATGAGCCGTGTCGTCAGTGGTGTCCGTACATCCCGGCCACTGAGTGGAATCCTCTGCTGCTGAAAGCGGGATTCTCGGGCATTGATATCGAGTACCCCAGTTCGAACAATCCAGATTTGACATGGCAGAGTATTCTGGTTTCTTCTGCCATCGAAACACCCAAGGAGAATTCATCGGATACCGCAGTTATCTTGACAATCGGTACATTGAAAGGGGAGGTCATTGAAAACCTCCTAGGAATTCTGCCGGAGCTGGGATACACGAGTTTTCTCGTTAAAGAGCCTCAAGAATTGGAAAATTCTATCCTGCAGGATGCACTTTACATCTCATTGATTGACTTGGAGATTCCTTACCTGTTTGATACGAACGAAGTGGCATACAGCAGACTCAAGAAGTTGCTCAGCGAGTGTCAAAATTTACTGTGGGTGACCTGCAATCCCCTCACAGATCCACATGCAAGTATGAGCCTCGGTCTTCTCCGAACAGTGCGCTGGGAGCGAGATACCGACGGCTCAAATATCGTCATTTTGACAGAGGCGGAGCCGGAGTCGGAGAACGCTTCGCCAGAGAGTCTTGCAACAGCCGTCGGCAAGATTGTCAAGCGTCAATTCGTGGAAAAGCCTGAGAATGATCGCCACGCCGAGTACATGTTGCAGAATGGTGTTATACACATTGGCCGTTTGAACGAGTGGGAGGCTGCGGATCAGTTCCTTGCTGCGCAGTCTTCTCAGCAAGCTCCTCAGCTTCAACGCCTCGGTGATTATGATACTCCCATTCAGTTACAGGAGGCTGCTGTTAACACCGGGGAACACTACTGGGTCATTGACGCGCAGAATGAAGGATCGCATAGAGACATCGAGGTCGAGATTGAGATCCGAGCAATTGGTCTCTCTTCGGATATTTCCGCCGGCCGCATCGCGAATGAGATTGCTGGTGTTGTGAGCAAGCTCGGATCAAAAGTCGAAGGCCCGGCCCTGGGTGACAGGGTCATCTACATCTCGGGCGAAAAAAAGGGCAGTACCATCCGAACTCATGGTCGAGTCGATCAACTGCAGCTCGTGAGGATCCCCGATGAGATCTCGTTCGAAGTTGCCGCCGGGTTGGCTGGGGCATACATAACAGCAATCCAAGGACTTGGGGAGATAGCTCATCTGGCACCGACAAATACTATCCTAATCCATACCAATGCAACGGATATTAGTCAAGCGGCCATTCAATATGCCCGGATGATTGGAGCTACAATCTATGCTACCGTGGGAACAGTCGAAGAACGTGATTTGCTTGTCTCTGAATATGGTATTTCTCAAGACCGTATCTTCTCTAGAAGAGATCTGAGCTTCGTCAAGGGTATCATGCGGCGCACGCAGAATACTGGAGTTGACGTCGTCTTCAACGCACTGAGCGGTGAGGCACTCCGGGGGTCAATTGCTTGCCTTGCCCCATTTGGGGCATTTATTGATGTGTCGCATCCAGATCTGCGAGCCGATACCACAGTCGAGCTGGCCTCTTTGCCTCGCAATGTGAGTGTCCACACCGTTAACATTCCTTTGCTGGCTCAGCATCGACCAAAATTGGTTCGTCTTCTGCTCATCGAAGCATTGAGATTGTACTCCCAAGGCAAGATCGGTCAACTCCGAACAACAACTGTCATAGACTTCACTCAGATCAAAGAAGGCATTCGAGCTGCGCAGAGCAGAGAAGCAGCAAAAGTTGTGATTGTGCCTAATCCGTCCAACATGGTCCCTGTGGTTCCACGTCCACTCTCGCCATGCCACTTTGACCCATGTGCCTCATATGTTCTTGCTGGTGGCTATGGCGGCTTGGGGCGCAGTTTAGCACGATGGATGGCGTTTCGGGGTGCAACGAGCCTGATTATCCTATCCCGCTCATCGGCTTCCAGTCCAGAGAAGGTGGAATTGATTGCCGATCTCGACAAAATGGGATGCAAGGTCCATTCCCTCGCTTGCGATATCGCCGATATCTCTAGCCTCCAGCAATTATCAGCAGATGACTTTTCAAATCTACCTCCTATCAAAGGATGCATTCAGGGATCCATGGTACTACGAGTAAGTCACCACATCTTGGTTTACTAGATAGATATACACCAACTAACACATTACTAGGACGGAGCCTTCGCCGGACTCTCCTTCGAAGACTGGCAAGCAGCCATCAAACCCAAAGTCCAAGGCTCCTGGAACCTGCATACAGTCCTACCAGACAACATGGACTTTTTCATCATGCTCTCTTCAGTTGCAGGTATCTTCGGCAACCGCGGACAATCAAACTACGCTGCAGGCAACACTTTCCAAGACGCACTGGCCGCATACCGCGTCTCGAAAGGCATGCAGGCCGCCAGCATCAACCTGGGCAGTGTTTCTAACGTGGGCTGGGTTGCCGAGAACCGAAGCTCGATGCGCACGCACACAGCAACATTATTCGAGCTTCTCCGCGAAGAAGAAGTCCACGCAACAGTCGACTTCCTCATCCGCGACCGGCAGAACGGCGGTAATACATCGACACGCTCACAGCTCGTCCTCGGTCTACCGACTGCGGAGATGTGTCGCCAGAACGGCGTGCCGCTGCCCACGTACCTGGATTACTCGATGTTCACGCACTTCCGGAACACGGCAACGACGAAGAGTAGTGAGATATCTCAGCAGAAGACTATTAGCATTGCTGCGCTTTTGTCGGCGGCTTCGGGTGCCGACGATGCTGTGGCTGTTGTGTCTGATGGGATTGTTGAGAGGCTTGCTTCGCTGCTTGCTATTCCTTCTTCGGAACTCGATGCTCAGCGCTTTGGCTTTGGGGGGATTGATTCCCTTGTTGCTATGGAGTTCCGGGCGTGGATTGTTAAGGAGCTTAAGGCTGAGGTTTCTTTGCTTGATATCATGGGAGCAAAGAATGTTAAGGCTTTGAGTGAGAAGATTGTTGGCAGGAGTCGTTTGGTTGCTGGAGGATTCAGTTCTTCTTAATCTTCCTAAGTGATCTTTTTTATCTCTTTCCAGCGAGTTTCTCATGGTTTGTTTGAGACTGCTTTGTGCTGGATTGTCAGGATTTATTGATCTCACGTCTGACGCCCCGTTACGAGATATGACTAGCCTGCATGTTTTTTTTCCAAGGGGCATTTTTCTAGGCTCTTTTTCCAACGTCTTTGAGACTAGATTCAGTGATTAACAGAATGCATACGGACGTTTTCTACATACCTTCCATCCAAGAAGATTTAGGACTTAATACATGAGATTTTTTGAATTTATTCATCCGACTCGTGCTTTGGACAGAGAAAAACATCCATTCCGACATATTAATAGTGGCAAAATGCTGTGCTTGCATTAAAACTTAGCTCATCCAAACCCTAGACCTTGCATTCATTATTCGTTATGTTCATCAACCTTGGAACAACTACCGTCCAGACCCTGAGGGGAAATAACCCCGTAAGCCCTGACTGGGAACCGCACAAACCGCCAACTTTGGTTCAGCTCCCGACCGCTCATGGTGCCACGCTCGCTCGCGCAGGGCCAAGTAAACTGAGCGGAACGGTTGGAGGTCGCCAGGAAGCCGACCAGGCGGTTTACGAGGATCGAAGCCCAGCTGCTGGAGTTGCGACTCACACCAATGCAGAGTATCTGGCGGTAGATATTGCTCTGTGTCGTAGTCGACGTGGTTTTGTTGCATGGCTTGCAGCGTCGGGACATCGGCTGGAAGACCGAAATTCTCTACGCCCTTGGGAGGGTGGTGGTAGTTCATATAGGGTTTTCCGGGGGTGCGCTCTGGGTGGTCTGTTTGTTTGCGGATGTTGTGCATGTTCCAGGTTTGAACGTAGGATTTGATGTGGGAGCGAAGAGTGGGCATGTAGATTGCGAAGAGGGCGACTTGTTCGGGGATTACTGTTGATGAGAAGAGGCCTTCATTGTGAAGGTCGCGGAAATAGTTCTGGCTGAGGTCAGTATTATGTGATTGGATGTAGGAGAAACCGTGGATATTGAAAGTCGACTAACATGGTAAAGGGTTACTACTGATTTAGCAAGCTGGGCCCACCAGGATTCAATCCGGTGGGTATCAGTGGCTCGTCCGGGTGCACAGCATTGCTCACGATGAACATCCGGTTCAGTGACGCGACGTAGCGCAAAGTGAGCATCGGCTAGAAGAGGAACCTCGGACTCAAGGTCAGATCGAAGAGTGCGTGGCTGGCGATTTTTAGAAGCAACAGTCTCAAGGTGGTTTTTGAGAACGCCCGCGGCCGTGTAAGCATCCACGCCAACATGAATCCAGAGGACATATCGAGAATACGCATCGAGTTCAGCATGGATGCGGAACCCGAAATTGGCTAACTTTGAGTACCCATTCACGTGCCAGGTCAGATTAGGGCCGGCTAGGATCTTTGGCGGAGGAGGACGCCGGGGCACATCGCTCGTGCGGCGTTCCACCGTATCCGGGCGCAGCATGCGGTAGACACTGTAGAGACGATCTCGGGCAAAGACGTACCCCTTGCTTCGGAAGTGGTTGTGTAGTAGTTCCTTTCCATATCCCTCAATGGTCCCCTTGTCCATTTCCTCGGTCAGAGCGTCGAGTATCTCCTGAACCTGTGCTTGTTGTTGTGTAGGCGAGTCAAGGCGGAGGCGGATGCCGAGCTGGTGACGGAGTCTGCGGAGTGTACGATTGGAGACATCGTAGCCCTCATCGTGTAGAACGGTGACGATCTCTTGGTCGGTCAGACCCACGTCGAAAAAAAGGTTTTTGATGCGGGCGTGCAGCGCTGGATTGGAGGAATTGTTCTCCTTAACTTTCTTGACGCCCCATACCTGTAGGCGTTTGCTCAGAGTACGCGCCGAGATCTGAATGTCATGCTGCCTCTTCAGGTGCTTGCAAATGTCGTCACTCTTCATTTTCTTTTCGAACAGGCCAATGATTTCGGCTTTGTACGGGTCGATGTCCACCCGAGGGCGACCTGACATTTTACTTGGCGTATCAGCTGTATTCTCCATTTTCCTAATTCAGATCAACCAATGTAGATAAGAAGGAGCCGTGGGGAGATGTTGACGGTTGGGGAAATGCGGGCGGTGTGCGAGAAATACCCAGCAGAAATCGACCGCCTTGATTTTTTTGTTATCGCAGCGAGTCTTCTCGAGAAGCAACGTCCTCGCTCTGCTCAGTCACTCACGATCTTTTTTTTTCGGTTTAATCTCACCCAGCCGAAACAACCGCTACAATGGTCCGTGAACTCAAGCACCACGAGAAGAAGTACGTCCGCACCTATAAACCCGTCCGCAGAAATCTCAACCGGATCCCATCCAATACCTTCAAAGCTTCACGATACCACAACGACCACTTGCTAACAATAATCCTCCTGCAGGCTTCTCCGGAAGGTCGACTTCCACAACTACAAGTCGGACGGCAACCACCGCGAACATGAAATCCGCCAAAGATACCTCCTCCAAGACCCCATGGACTACCGCAAGTACAATGCGCTCTGCGGTTCTCTTCGCCAGCTCGCGCACAAGCTCTCCCAACTGGACCCGGATGCGGACCCGCTGCGCAAGAAGCTCGAATCCGAGCTGCTGGAGAAGCTGTGGCGCATGGGTATCCTAAAGCAGTCCCGCGAGCAGGGCGCCGGTCTGTCTAGGGTCGAGCGCGAGGTCACAGTTTCTGCGCTGTGCCGTCGCCGATTGGCTGTCTTCATGGTGCGCTCTGGCATGGTTGAGACTATTAAGGCTGTAAGTTGCGGAGCGGAGACCCGGTTCGGGGTTAAGTGTATGTAATGGAACGCTGACTTTATTTTTTTTTTTTGCTAGGCTACTACTTTCATTGAGCAGGGCCATGTCCGTGTTGGTACGGAGGTTGTCAATGATCCTGCTTTCTTGGTTACCCGCAACATGGAGGACTTCGTCACCTGGGTTGATTCCAGTAAGATCAAGCGCAACATCTTGCGTTACCGTGAGAAGCTGGATGACTTTGATCTTCTGTGATCGACTCTGTTAAAAAAAGCATTTTGGGTTTTTGTTCTGATATACCCGGCGCTTGTGCATTGTGGCCTGTTTAGGTTTGGCGTATTGATGTTTCATGAAATTATATCTCATGTCCAAGGTTCTCTGGATAACTCAATGTGGATATGAATACTACCTATGTTCTCTAGAAACGTAGATAGTAAACTGCTATATACCTCCAAGTGCTCACTGCATTGTCTACTGGAGAAGCTCAGCTTCTATTCCCCGGAGCTGCCAGAACTGATTTAACGTGAAAGGTTATATAGTGGCTCTCTCTACACCGCTTTCGCAGTGCCTTACTCGACTAAGGTGCGCCTTCACGATCGTTCCTTGTGCCGCAGCATTCTAGCTCTAACTGGACCGGGCAAAAGAAACCCGTGCGATGTTTAAAGAAGCAACTGGGACACACGGGACGGCGAATCTCGGGTATAGCGCGACATCGAGTCTCATGATGTTGATCCAGATACAAAATTTGGCTATTGGATCACAACGCATGTTGTTGATTGGTTTACGCCGCCCAAGATGAACTTCATTTAGTTTTATATTCTCCTAAGAAAGCAACTCTAAATCTGAATCTTGTTTGCGGAAGTTACGTTTCCTCTTGCTTGTAGCCCATTGAGAACACTCCCTGTATGCCCGTGGAAACTTAGTTCATGTCTAGTGAGCAAATCAGGGCCCTCAGATATGATAATCAGTGAATGGATCGGGGTGCTCAGGTGATGATCAGGCGATGCTTAGCAAAGAATTTTGTTCCAAGATTTCCAAATATCATGATCAGTGATCAAGTCAGGGTACTCAGGTCGTGCAAGATTTTACTCAGTGATCGAAAAGAGGCAAGAGGTATAACAGAAAAAGGAAGGGTTCAGATGCCAGATATTATCCGTTATAAATGTACCATATGGGGCTATGTACAGCGTTCCAATAACAATAAGGGTATCTCAGTCAAAAAACGACAGGAATGCAACGAATGCAAAATGGACTGGAGATAAGAATAGGCCAGAGAGTGAGCTTCCCCCGGACAAGGGACATGTTGGACGGCGGGATAGGAACCACTGGATGCAAATGCAGATCATCACTCGGGGATCATGGTATCATAGGAAATAGTAGTGGGGGCAGTGTGGTTTTGAGAGCAGCACCTGTGCTATGCTCTGTGTGACAAGGTGATAGTGATAAATGTTGGAGAATCCAAATCGGAATCCAGAATTTAGGTATGGTATTAGGAAAGAGAAGACTTCGAACGGAGACACGTCCAATGTTTTCGAGCGCCATCAGGGGAATCTTTATTTGAATTCGAGTTTGAGGTCGGTGTCTTGCCCAGGAAATCCAAGAGATGGGTCTGCGACTTTCCTTGATGAGAATCCGGTTCTGGCTCTTCATCTTCGGGGATATCCATGCGGAACCGACGCACGCTGCCTTCTCGCTCAGTCTTGCCTTCCTCGAAGAACGGGGTGCGAGTCTCGCGGGGCTGAAAGCAGCGAGGTGCGACGCGGCGCCAGAGACCCCGGACACCACTGCTTGCCCGGTCGATCTTCTCGTACTCACGTCGCCGGGTATCGGGTGAGGTCCACTCCATTACTGTCGCCGGGACATGGATGGACGAGGACGAGGGGCTGTGGTGGTGGTTGGTGGGCAAGGTGTTTGATCGATTTCTTGATGTGGCGAAGTGTGGCGCACTCGGCGCGGCCGGTGAAGTAGACTCTGGCTCAAAGCGGAAGCTGGAATATGAAGGTGCGATTGGTGAAGAGGGTGCCGAGCTGCCTTTCTCTGTTGATATATGCCTATCTCGCTGAGATCTATATGTAGCTGATGCTGTCCGGTGTAGAGAAGGTCTTGTCTCGGTTGAGGATCTGTTTGATCCATCGCCTTGGAACAGACGGCATGACTCCCGGTGTAGAGCTAATAGTGACTCGCGCTTGTCCTGCATGGAACTGCGAGGTGATGTGACAGGCACGATAGCGGCGTTGGGCACAGCCCGGCGCGGCGAGTGGACAGAACTGCGACGGCTGTTTGGTCGCGATCGCACGGTGCTGCGGGATGCCGAGCGAGAGTGACTGATCGAAGTAGATGTCGATGTTTGTGATTCTCGACGGCCAGGCTCTTTTCCCGGTGGGTTGATCCTTTTCACCTTAGGTGCCATCTCAGATGGGGATATAGGGGATATAGGTGATTCGCATCCCTGGAGCTCTGTAATAGTGGGCTCGCACTTGGAAATCGCCAAAGATGGCTTCAGGGCCAAACATGTGACCGTAGCCATTTCCCGTCAGCGGGTAACTTTGATCATAGGCCAATACCCGTGGACGGGCAGGACAGGTAGGACAGGCAGGACAGGCAGGTGCCCTGATCAGATGTATATCAAGGGAGCGCAGTTCATGTAAGATAAGATTAGGGCTAAAATGTATTAAAACGAGAGGTCAACTCCATCTTTGAAGATAGGTATGAAACGAAAAATAAAATAAAATAGTAGAACCTCAAGCAAATCTCTTTCCCTTTTATTATTTTGGATATGAGCACACCGCTCCTCATTTATTTTAGCAGAGTGGGGGGGCGTCTAGAGTGTCTAGCCATGATCGTCCTATGAAGGCGCGTACCCTGCAGTTACTTGCAGTTACAAATGCAGGGGCTTTAGTGTAATAGAGTACAACATACAACATATATATGGGGTAAATATGCTATGGTAATTTCTGGTGCAATGATACTAATAATAAAGATAAGGCTACAACCAAATCATTCACATGGTCACATTGTCAATGTAGAAACTCTGTTTGGACGATCCAAGAATTCGATAAATAAGTTAAGAGGCCAGACTAACTGGGTTAACCTTAGTAAACTAAGTACATACCCTAAACTAGGGTGTACGCTAACCTATGATAGACATTGCATCCTGTGTGTGTTGGGACGCCAAGCTCTAGTCTCAACGATCTACAAAGTACGGAGTTATATCGCAGAAATAGAACAGAACACTTCGAATGTATTTGTCCATACTATTCAACTTTAAAGAGAATAAAGGAACTCAGGGTTCTCCCGATCGGTCAAATCAAGGAACCTGCAAAAATTAGTAAAAATTAGCAAAATAGCTAATCAATGTCGACATCAGAAATGACTCACTCTTGATTCTCTAGTCTCACATACTCCGGCCGAGCAGTGAAAAGAATCTTCTTCTTGTTCTCGCGGCGATACCACATCCAGACCCCGACCAGCAGGAACAAACACACTCCCCAGCAGACGATCACGGTCACCTCGGCGGGGACATAGCGGGGGGCATCCTGTGGACGGAAGGTTTGTGGGCCTGGAAGTTGTGTTAGCGTCTCCATATTTCTTTTACCCCTTATCTCTTTCTTTTCTCTCGACTCACCGATAATATTTCCAGCACAATATCCAATCAAATACAAAGCCGCCACAGTCGTCTTCTTAGTATATCCCGCAACATTCGAAGAAATCAGCGACAACAATGCCACGAAAGGTGTCGGACTGGCTTGTGTGAGGTAATAGCCAATCAAACGACCGACATTGTTCGATAACGGCAGAGCGACAATAAGCAGCATTCCTATGATTGCAGCGACCAGCCCACCCAAACTAGCAAGGATGCGTTGTCCGGTGATATGTCCGACATAGCCGTTAAGTAACAGTGCAACGATTTCCACTGCGCCGCCGGGGACACCCAGGATCAGACTCTCTTTCGCATTGTATCCGAAACTTGTAATCTGTGGTAGACTGGTCAGCATGCTTGGAACTTTCAAGTATTTACAGGCTACCGTCAACATACCAACTGACTAAAGAAATTGGAAATGCCCCCATTCGGAATATCGGCAATCAAGGCATAAAAGAAGAAAGCCCAGGTCATCGGATCCAAAAGCGCCTCCTTGACCTGATAGAGCTTGAAATGCTTATTTCCAATGCCTTGCTGGTTGACCCGCACACGCGCAACAGCCAAGATGCGATCTTCCTCATTTAACCAGCGCGCATTGAGTTGGCTGTCTGGCACAATCCAAAGGAATACCAGTCCCAGGCAGATGGTGAGGAGGCCAGTGACGAGGAAGACTATCTTCCATGGCTCGATGGAGGACCCGTGTTTCTCGGTGCCGACGGCGATGCCGTACGCCACTACTCCGCCAAACATCTGGCCCACGCCGTTGAAGCTGAACCAGATGTTGACGCGGCTGCCTTGTTCTTGTTTTGTGTACCACTGATTGGGCATTAGCTCGATCCATTGTATCTTGTTTATAGTCATGAGTTTTGTACTTGGGAAGTTAATAGTGCAAAGCCCGGTGTCACAGCGGCTTCGAATACACCGAGCATAAAGCGGATAGCGATAGCACCGGAGTAGTTATTGACAGCGGCGAAACAGCTGAGGATCAATCCCCAGATCAAGATGCAGGCTGCAGAGTATTTTGCTAGTGGGAGGCGCTGGAGGAGGCGGTTGGTCGGGTATTCCCAGGCCAGGTACCCTATGCAGAAGAACTATTAGGTATAATGTCCCCGGAGAAGAATCAATTTAAGAGAAAAGTAGAGATGTAACATACCGAAGTAGAACAAACTCCCGAGCCACTGATACTGGTCTCCCTCGAGATTCAGATCCTTTTTAAGGCCCATAACACTGGCGTAGGAGAGGGTGGTTTCTATACATCGGGGCTCGGATTAACACTCGAGTGGACTAAACAGCCAACAGAACAAAGCATAACACCAAGCTCGCTCTTGACTTGCTCCGTTTAGGGACAAGATTGAGGAAAGGTATACATACTATCCAGATAGTTCATGCCATAGATAAAGCACATGATCGGCATCATATGCCAATCAATAATACTTAACAAGCGGCGATTCGTGGCCTCGTCTAACTCAATGGTTTCACCCTGAAGATCACCCATGGCCTTCAGAGCCTCATCGGCATCATGTGCATGCTTCTCAATCGTAGAGTCAACATGTTTTATTTTGCCCGCGTCGATACCGGCGTCCACGCTAGAGGAAATGCCAATGGCTTTTTCCTCTGAGGCCATAGTGTCGGTTTTATAAGGTAGAACGTAAAAGGAGTGGGCAGTGGAGGAATTAATATCTGACAAGGTCACACAGGACAAAACTAAGCTCTCGCCAAGTTAGCGGTGGTGCGACTATAAGCAATACCAAGGCAATGCATAAAAAAGATCAAAGGAAAACCACAGCCGGGCGGACACAGCTAAATAACGTAAAAAGAGTAAGGTCGAGAACTCCGCACTTCCGATAGCTAGTTACATAGGACGATCTTACTTAAGACCAAGTAGGTTACTGTATCCGATACCCTGTACCTCCAAACAAAGCCGGCTTAGCTGCATTGCATGGTTATCTCGTGAGAATCTCTTGGACACTTCCTCCTATCAACCAACGCAACACATGCAGCTCGGCAAGTAAGTTGTGGGTCTCTATACGATAAGAAGCTGTTTTATCTGGAGTTGGTGGTTTCTGATGTGTCTCATTGGGCGTTCAGGGGAGGGGGGATGAGGGGAATGATCGGCAGTTTATCTTTATAACCAAAAGGAGCATAAGCCATCCCCCTTCCAGTAGGTGCTAGGAACATACTCGTGGTACTATGTAACCGTTGTATATCTACTTGGCACGGGTATATACGTAATCTCTGTTATTGGGTGCGGAGATGTGGAGGCTTCATTAAAGGTAATGGAATCTTTCCCCAACCAATGTACAAAGTACATTCTACCATTGACAGTCAACTACGCTTGATGTTCTAGTCCCTACCTATATACTATGTATCTCTGCTGTATTCAATCCCACTAGAAACACCTATTTCATTGGTGATATCTATTCTTTCAGCAGCCGCGATGGTCTCACGTCCGTATGCCCACCCCGCGTCGGAGCCCACCACAGACCACGATCAACTAACCAAGCCACGGAAACAGGCGCGTTTAGTATGTTTTCATACCCTATCTGCCTCCCCCAAAGTTGGAGCTAAACAATTACCCTACATCAAGGTATGTCGTCGATGAAAGAAGCGTTGCGATGCAAGCCCCATACCATTTACCCCACCAGCAGAATCCTGGCGCCAAGGCTTACTCTGGCGATATAGGGCAACCAGCCCGCATGTTCGGCATGCAGTCGCTGGAAGATGGAATGTGTTTATGCTTCAGGCTCCCTGACCCCATTGGATGACGGGGTTCCTACCTCCAACAGCGCTCTGGAGATGGAACTTGCCGCCTTTAATCAAACCATACCTATTACATCTTTTTGATTTCCTACCGGAGTTGGTCCTGCTTTCCTCGGATACTAATCATAGGGTATTGGGCTACGGCGAATAATCTCTAGATGGTTTGACGCTGGCCGGTTCCTCTTGACCGTCGTCAACGATCCCACTGCTATCCCCTAAGCAAACCATCCAACTAATAAATGAGTTCTTCGATCGTTCACATCATCTCTTACCATACGTCCATAGGGGAACTATTATAAATCGTTGGGATCGTTGGGCCCAGTCCTGTCGCCGTTAGAATGGGCCATCTTGGCTACTGCTGTAAGGACTAGTCGTGATACGATGGCCTCCTCTCGAGCAGATCTCTTTCTGCAAACTGCCGTTAACTCACTTACGTAGAGTCCCATTCTCTATAAGCGGGTAGTCAAGATATAGAGTCCTATTTTTCACGAACTAACGCAATCGTAGGAGAATGTTTTGCGGGATTTGTAGGCAGCTATATGATATGTCTTTTCGCTCTATCATTCGGGCGCGATCACCAAGGCGGTCGTGTTACTAGCGTAGGCATACTCTCTAGCATGCTTAAATGGATTCAACAGGCGGTATGATCCTAAACCGAATATACCAGCGACTATACGGTTCTTCTCATTAGAAGTAGAAGAATGCCGCTGCACACTATAGGCCCACTTTATCCTCGACCGACACATAGACCACATGATAGGCCGCCACTTTGTCATTGACGACATGCTCTGGTGCGTGAATTATCATTCAGACAACCTGTCTCTTCAAAATGGTCTGCGCGCAGACCCAGAAAGCTACGATCATGATCTTGCAGCACTAGCGTCGAAAACCAACGCCCCAATCGGAGTTTCTGTGACTCGTCTTGTATGCAAGGCTAGTGCCATTATCGGCCGCATTGTTACATACTGTTAAGCATTTGCATGTCGGACTTAACCTTGCCCTTGCATCGTGTGTACATGCAGGAAATCCCTTACATAACACTGGAAAGACCCGTGAACAACGCTGATATGAGAGACAACCAGGCTGCAAAAACGTTATATATCACGCCATCAAATGTATATATTTTCATTATGCATCACCATTCATGTAACTACAGTAGACCGTGTACTGCATGCTCTATTGCGCACCCACACGGGCCAAATACGCCTCCCATCCCTGCTGCTGGTACTGCTTAGCAGCCTCAACAGGGTCCGCAGCGGCATAGATACCACGACCAGAGATAATGAAGTCGGCACCGCGGCCAATAGCCGACTGCGGCGTCTGGTACTGCTGACCGAGCTTATCACCCTTAGACGAGAGATTGACGCCAGTGGTGAAGACGACGAAGTCCTCGTCTTGGGCGGGGGCCTCGGTAGACTCGACCTCGCCCAGCGAGCGGGTGGAAACGAATCCCAGAACAAAGCTGGGGTACTTGCGCGCGATGTCAACGGATGCGGAGGTGTAGGAGCCTGTTGCGAGGGATCCCTTGGAGGTCATCTCGGCGAGGATGAGGAGGCCGCGCTCGGAGCCGTAAGGGAAGTCAGTGGCCTGGGCGGTTTGCGCAAGGGCCTCGACGATACCCTCGCCGGGAAGGACGGAGCAGTTGATTATGTGGGCCCATTCCGAGATGCGGAGAGTGCCGTTGTGGTACTGTTTCTGGACTGTGTTGCCGATGTCGATGAATTTGCGGTCTTCGAAGATGAGGAAGTTGTGCTTTTGGGCTAGGGCGTTCAGGCCGTCGATTGTTTCTTGGCTGAAGTCGGAGAGGATGTCGATGTGGGTTTTGATCACGGCGATGTAGGGGCCAAGGCCTGTACATGGGTTAGTGGGCTGTTTCGTTGGAGGGGTGGGCTGGGTTCACTTACGGTCGGCGAGGTCCAGGAGCTCCTTTGTCGTGGTCACGTCAGCGGAGACGGTGACATTGCTCTTCTTTTCTTCGGCAACTTGGAAAAGCTTGCGCGCAAGAGGATTGGGGTGCGATTGAGCGCGGGCGCTATAGGTCAATTGCGACTTGGACGACATGGCGGGGTTGGCGGGGTGAAGAGGTGGTTGTTACGTATTTGGTATGTGATTTTGAGATTTTAAGAGCAATGAAATGGAGCAAACGATAAATGCTTCTAAAATAGAATCGCCTTTTCAAGTCCAAAAGTAGAAGAATAGAGAGGTAGGTTTGAGTCGAAGACCATCGGGGAACTTTTTCTGCCACAGTGGACCCCACTGGATAATCTTCCGAGGCTGGAACTGTGGCGCATAACATGTTGCATTCGACATAAAAAAAAAACATAGCACATCTTCAATTTCAAGATATTTTAGAAGATTCAAGCTTCAAGCGCTTAGAAAGAAAGTAGTGGCCATCCAACGCCATAGATACTCAATCCCCACAGAGCACCCTGCACCAACCAAAAGGATGAACCCATCATGCGGCCCTTACCCTGCGGCTTGCTCGAGTACACATAGCCGTAGAGGAACAGAGCGCGGAAGAAAACCCACAGAGCGCCCAGGCCAGCAGCCAACTCCGGGTACTTCAGACCGGCGACCAGGGTGAAGAGCATTGTCTGGGAGGCATTCTCGAGGAAGTTGGTGTGGGCGCGCTGGGCGCAGTTGAACTTCTCAGCTTTGGCCTATAATCGGTTTAGTAGATGTTATTTGATACTCAGTAGGAAGTATATATATATATATGTTTCCATTGAGTATGGGGGACTTGCGAAGCCCGGGTGATAGACGGGGAATGAGACGCACATTTTCCTTGCATAGCTCCATGGAGGCATAGCTGTGGGGGTAGGGCACCTTAGCCTCCTTGCGCAGGCTGCCAGTGATACAGCCGTGAACGAAGCCCAAGACGGGGATGGCGCCAAGCGCGACGCCAATGACGGCACTGGGGGATAATGTTAGCGTCAGATTTCACGGGAAGTTTAAAGGTTGAGCTAGGAGAGGCATAGCTTACCCGTAGTTGCTAGGAATAATGAATGCGACCATGTTGAGAAGAGAATCCGGGGAAATGATGTGAGTTGGGGACTTTATGTTGTGATTTCGCCTGATTCTGGGGGTCCTTTATACAATTGGAGCTTCGGGTTCCACAGCCCCCGAGCTCCCGTCGGTACAATCGGTTTAGCCGATCCGGGCACTTTCAAGGTGTCTCACGTACGTTGTGATATAGCTGGCCTTTTGAGAACTTTAGGTCGAATAATTTTCTAGATCCTTCGTGAAGGATAGTTTCTCATGGGATTGAGAGCCCTGGAGTACTAATGACAATAATATGACGTTATCCAAGTGATAGCATTTGACGAATAAATATTCAGTGAGAGCCGTAAGTTCCAGCATATGTGCGATACACAAAATAGCCAAATGTTCATTGAAAAGTTCATGCTCCCACGTGCGGCACCATCCTACTTACACTCCCGTACTTGGCCTGCCAAGCGAAGAAGTACAGGAGTGCTCCAAGAGGTTGTCCGACTAGACAAAAGCTGACCCAGAAGATGCAGTTTCCAATAACCCGACCTTCAGGCCCGCGCATATTATCCAATGGTGCGGTGAGGGAAATCAACGGCAGCTGGAACATCATTCCAAAGAATGCGACACCTGGACTTGATTAGCCTTTGAGCTGTGATCAGGGGGGGCAAGACATACCAATGAAATTATGTGTGGGAATTCCCACGAGCATTTCGTGAAGAATCGCAGAGAGCGTGAAAACCATTCCACTCGCAGCCAGAGGACTCCATCCACGACCAACAAGCGGCGAGTAGACATGTCTCTTCATGAAGAGGTAGACAGGCCGGTTCCAAGATCGCCAATACATACCAAGACTCGAGCTGTTCCACCAGTCAGTGTAGAATTCGCGGTCTCCAAACCGCATGACCTCGGCCAAAGCGTTCAGAAGCGCTTGAAACAATGCAAAGAAGCCAGCAAGCCAAATAATCAACGAAATAGTGGACAGCTTCATAACCCGCTCCAAAATGGAGGCAATGTCCATTACTGCGATCTTATCAATCGAGTTGCGCAGCACCGGCGCAGCGTACTGCGCAGACAGCAGCCAAATGAACACTGCCAGGCCCACGAACTCTGCAAGGCGCTTTGCAACAAATGACCACCGGATAGATGCGGTGCGTGGATAAACAGGCTGATACACCAACGTAGGTGCCAGCCAGAAGTACGCTAGGTTATTGATGGTAATATTCCTTGGGTAGGGGCACGAGGAGTAGATTTCAGGCAAGCCCGGGTCTGCGGAGGGATTGAGGAGCGCGAGACGAAGGTCTCGATTTGTGAAGGCATAAGAGCAGTTCTTCAACCACACAATAATCGCGTGTAGCTGGCATATTGTCCCAATGCCTGGGTGGTGAATGTAGAAATATACCACAAAGCTGGTTACTGCGAGGCATAGGGTAGCATTGAGTGTGTGCAGGAAAGCAGTGTACGGCCATGTGGACTGGAAGACCTTCTGGTCGTGTTCTTTCTCTTTCTCTGTCTTTTTCTGACGACCCACTGTCTGCTTGGCTGCAGTAGCGGCTGAAAGCTCAATGATGTATGCCACGAGCAAATGACATGGAACCGAGGCAAACAATATGGACCCCAAAACAACGTCTTGCCTGCGGTAGTCATGGCATTTAATACAGATTAGCACGCCATACTATATGCTTGTTAGTTAACAACCTCGAAACAGTAATTGAATATTTGGATCACTCACTTTCATGAAGTTTTCAATGATCAATCGCAGGTTCATCGCCACTGTCGGAGCATTAGCCGGTTGCGTATACAACTCTGTAGCGATCCTTACCAAGTACCAATACCATGAGATTTCGGAACCCCAGGAAATTGGGAAGCACATCAGCCTCTCGACTGAGGCTGGAATGACGAGCTTCCGAGTGGTATGCAGCTACATGGCGATATTTACTGCGTTTCTTGGAAGTTGAACTTGATGGCGGAGAGACCTCGGTTACAGTTGAGATGGCCCCATTCGTTGAATTGACCTGCGATTCTTCGCGAGCCCTCGTAATTGCTCCGGTCTGAGTAGTCATTTTAACAGCTCTGCAATCTCGGGAGTGTGAGGAACCAAAGGGTCCTTAGGTCGAGCTCCGATTAAACCGGAGCACCGACGGAGAGCAATACGAAGAGTAGAGCAACAGCCAGGCCGCACAATTACGGCAGATGAAATGAGAAGAGGAGAAAAAGAAGACAAAAGACAAAAGCACGCGAAACAAGATCATTTAATACCTGGACATGGCGGGGGGAGAGACATCATAGCGCAAGCTTGCAGATAAATCCCGCAGGGGCCAATCAGCGTCACAAGCGATCAAGGGACGGATCCTGCGCTCCGAAGAGCTTCGACTCTCTCCGCATATTTTGTGCTTCTGTTGGACCGGTCCGATCCAGTATTCGATCAGTATTTGAAACTTCTATTTCCTTTCAATCCTAATGTTTGCAAACCGACAGCCTTGATCCTGTACATCTTTTCAACCGGTCGCCATGGCCTACTACGACGACAATGGAGGTGACGGCTCAGGGCGATTTGGGAAGAATTTCGACGGTCCAGTCGGGCCTCGCAGACCACGTATGTTTGCTTGCTTTGAAGTTACTTTGACTGAGCTTCTGCTTGTTCATAGCCTGAAGCCTGACTGACAACCGTTACTCTCAGGTCTCGTCACGGATTATGGCTCTTCAATGGTACAATGGATGCGAACACGGCAACCGAGATACAAAGGAGGATATCGATTGGAGACGGAACGACCAAGTCCCAGCTTCGCGGTCGATGTATGTGTCGTTTGAACTGCTCTGGGCTGGTGGGACAAAGATATTGACTTGCGACAGGTTCTTCCCCCGATGGCGCGGCCCTATTCTGCTGTCGATACAATCCCTGTCCGACACCTTCACCAGTCAATTGGAAAATCAAAAAAACCCATCGTCGTCGTGCGATGGACCCCCGAGGGAAGGCGGCTGTT